TTATGTCTTAGGGTAAAAACATTAAAAATCTTCCTACCAGATATGATTAAAACATCTTTAAATACAGATAGAATTGTGCATCCATAAAAACAAACAAAAATGCACTAACATTAGATGTAGCATTTCTAAAATTTTGTGTCAAAGTTTTTCTTTGGAAGCTCTGTCTGTTAATTTCTTGTGCCTTCAGTATATATTTACTGAGCACTATTGTGTCCCATCTCTGGGTTCTGCATTACTAGCTCTGTGAACTTGAGCAAGTTTTTTATTTGCTTTGGATTTAGTTCCTTCACTGCTTGAAAGAGGATAGCAATAGCTCCCATTTCACAGGTTGCTGTGTAAGTTATATGACCTAAAATATACAATACCCTAGAACAAAACTGAGCACATAGTTAATCATACTTAAATGACTTACATTATTATTGAAGCTACTGTTATTATTATTTTTATAGGCCAAGTACTTAGCTAAATATATTGAAGGATTTAAAAATATACCATAAAACAGTATTCATATCATTCCTCTCAAAAATGTTGACTGTAGGAGGGTTAAGTGTACTAACTAAAAGAAGAAAGTAAGAATGTCATGTAAGACCAGATGAATGCTATGACAATTAGAAAGCATTACTTATATAAACTTCCTTTATAACTCTTACGTTACCATGTGATTTGTTTACATGCTTTAATCCCTTCCTCTTCCTGTGAAGTGAATATCACAAGCTAATTTGCCTTTGACTTGCCTTGCTCAAAGTGTAATTTGAACGGAGGGTACAGCCCAGGAGAGCAGCACACAGTGAGTCCCCACTATTTGGGAAGCTGATGTAGAAAGATGTAAGAAGTTATCCTACAGAACTTGGCAAGAGTTTTTCTCAAAATAAAACAAATAAGTAATAAAGGCTAAGAAAAGCACAGCTTTCTCTGGGTTCAATCTTCCGTATCTCCACACACACACACACACACACACACACACACACACACACACACACACACACACAGTGTTCAATCACATGGTTTAATCATGTAATGAAAGTAAAATTTTTCAGGTTCAGATAGACAGCATCTAACTATAAAGGGAATATCTACATAGAAATGTCAAATGAGGGGTTAGAAATAGTAATTAATTCAATTTTTTAAGTGGAAAAGGATTTTAAGAAAATCGACAGTTTTCTGTAGGATAAATAGGAAAGCAAAAAATGAGACAGAAGCTCATTTAAATTTTCCAGTGTTACAGAGCAAAATTTAACTCAAAATATGTCCAATTTTTCTTGAGTTTTACATTCTTCACAACATTCATAGAAAACACCCCAATTGGATTGTTGAAGTAGTTTTGCTACTTATTAAAATGAAATCACTATATTCTCACTGTGAGGTCATTTATCAAATACCAAAATTATATTAATTTTGAGATAAAATTCATGTTCTAGACACTGTCAGAAAGAAAGAACAGAGACTTATAAGAAGCTAAGAAAAATTTACAGTACTAGAAACCTACGCTTTTTGTATATATAGCCCTTTCTATAAGTATTTGACTATAATCTAATGCTTTAAAATATAGTTTAGGGAAATAGCTTCAGTCCATAGAAAATATAATTAATAAATCAGTCTTTTCTATTTTGTGAGTATGATAGAAGCCGTGGTTAAAGTAAATATCACTTTTTAGTGGTAACTTGCAAAACCAGCAAACCGACCACCATCAAACTCTTGAGTCATCTGCAAACTAATTTTTCACATTGAGACAATTGCTTATTTCCTTTTATCCTAGGGGCTCACGTAATGGAATTTTTTTTTTTTTTTTTTGGTATTTCTGAAAATATGGTAAGACCTGTTTTTGGCCATTTGGGGATTAATATTCTGAACCCTCTAAGCCAAACTATTGCATAAAAATTAGCTAATAAATAAATTGCCCATATTTTTAAATATATTGGTAGTCTAAAATGAAAGTCTGCAAAAACCCTCCAGAAACAAAAGCTGATGGTGATGGTGATGATGATGATACAAGCTAAAAGTTGAACAAAAGGGAGATGACACTAAATATGTCCTGAGGACAAAAGCCAATAACAAGAGTTTTGGACGTTGAGAACTGATATTGCGACGATTATAGAAGGTTTAGGCTGTGGCTTTGCCAGAACAGAAATTGTTTGCCATAAAATTCATTTAAAAAAAGAACTACCAGGTGAGAGGATGAACTCAGTAACTCAGCCCTACATAAAAAAAAGTGAAGAAAGAAAGAACAAAAGAAAGAGAGAGAGAGAGAGAGAGAGAGAGAGAGAGAGAGAGAGAGAGAGAGAAAGAAAGAAAGAAAGAAAGAAAGAAAGAAAGAAAGAAAGAAGAGAGAGACATTGATTTTTAAAAATGAAAACTCTTGGGCTGGGGATTTAGCTCAGCAGCACAAGTGCCTGCCTGGCATGTGCAAGGTTGTGAGTTCGATCCCCAGTACCAAAACCAAAAACAAACAAACAAAAAAATGAAAACTCTTTGAAACAATCCTCTCCTCTATTCCAAAAGGAAAATAAATGTGAAGAAGAAAAAACCTCTTATAAAGCAGTTTAACCACAAACCTTCCTCCACCTGTGTCCAGGGCTTAATGTGATACTACATGTATGATTTGAGGAAGTAGAAGCCAAAATATTAATTAGGATAAACTGAAAAAATATACATACCCTCTTAGAAGGAAAGCACGTCCCACTAAGCCACCACATAATTTTCTCAGAATCAAATATTAGCCCCAAATAATCAGCAAATACATAAGAAAATAAGTCATTATAAGTGACTCAGTAGAAATAGCAATAGATTGCCAAGAATTCTATTACTAGAACTGAAAGTATATCAATAAGTCAAGTATTTACATAATAAGTCATATCTATCGCAGGCAAGAATCTAGAGAATAATAAAAATGACTAAGTAATATCTAATCATTGCTCCAGACAGAAAGAGATGAAGGTGAAACAATCTACAGAATATTGTCGTAAGAGTTTTCTAGACTAATAGAACACAGAAATACTCCAGTAGCATTTAAAAAACTAAAATCTATGTAAACAAAAATAAAATTTTAGAAAAGGCAGAGTCAAGGAAAAATTCTTTAAAAAGTCTAGAAAAAGACAAAATGATAGAGATAAAGACAGAAGACACTGTCAGTGGAAGAATGAACTGAAATAGGAATCAAAAATAAAAATGCAATCTATTCAATTATCTTCATTACCATAGACACCTTCTGAATGGGAGGTTTCAGAGTGAACCCCTATCTATATGGGTACAAGATACATGACAGAAACGCCATTGACAATCAGTCAGGGTTGAACTAAAGTTTCAGAAAACCGATCGGAAGTGGATTAGTAAAATTGTGACATTGTAAAAACTAGTTAAATACATTATTAAAAGAACAAATGGGAACTGTATCTCATACCCACATAAAAATCAAGTAAAGAAATTAATGATTTAAATATGAAAAGAAATTTTTAATTAAAAAATTTTTATATGAGTTCATATCCTCAGAACCGTGATGCCAAAGATTTTCTTAACTAGGGCACACAATCACAGACATACCTAAAAGAATTGACTAAAATTAAGGGTAATTAAGGATTTTTTATTGAGATGTTTTTAAAATAAAATATAAAACCAACTATCAAACCTAGAAGATAATTTTGAAATTGATAGAGCATAAATCAGAATACTTAACACCTACACAAATTATATAAAGAAGAAATAAATGATTAATTGAAAACTGGGCAAAAAGGCAGAAATAAATGGCTAAGAAAGAAGTGAAAATGTTCAATCTCATTTCTAGTCAGAGGTGAAAATTAAAACCCCAGGGTTACATTTGACATATATGAAATCGACAAGAATTAAAAACTCAGACTTTAGTAAGTATTGATTAATATAATGAGTAATAAAAACTATTATTTTAAGTTGATTGGTTTAAAAACTTGGATAATTTTAGCATGAATTTATAATACCACTCTCTATGTGATTCTTCTACACTACTAACGTAGAGCTCTTCTTTCTACATTTTCACCAGATATTTCCAACAAGAAAACATTGGGATGTCCATCAAGAAGAAAATGAATTAATAAATTGTGGTACAGAATAGTTATACAGTGAACGGCTAGTTGGACACATGAATGACTTTTTGATACAATAGCAAGGATGAAACTAAAAGCATAATAAGTAGTGTGAAGCTAATGCAAATTAAAGAGAAAATATTCCCTGCCACTAAAAAGGAAAAGAGGCAACCACTTTTTAGTTTTAGATCTTTTTTTTGGCTTTTTGAGACAAGGTCTCTCCATGCAGGTCAGGCTGGCCTTGAACTCACTTTGTAGCCTAGGCCAGTTTTGAACTCACGAGGATCCTCCTACCTCAGCCTCTGGAGTGCTGGGATTACAAGTGTGAGCCACCCCGCCCAGCTAGAGCATTTTCTTTACCAAATTTATCACAAATTCTTTCCATGTCATTTTGAGATGTTTGTAAACCTTTTCAAATATAAATAAACCTCCTTCCAGATTTACAACCTAGGAATGTCTTTTTCAGGCATTGAACACTGTCTCCTTGAGATGTAATCATGAAGGAAGAACTCTCTCCCAGTTTCTAGGAGCCTAACTTAAGTGTGCACCTCACTCCAAAACTGCCCCATTATGAAGAACTGAGAAGTTAATTTCCCCTTTAGATAAAGTCACTCGACTAACATGGTTAGGGACTCCAATTGCCAAGTGAATTAAGAAAAAAAATGTGATGTGATACCATCATGCCTCTTACTTAAAGAGCAATTATCATTTATCTTGAAAACTTGTTTTTAATGAGGTATAGGCTGAAATTTCTTTCTGTCTTTGCATTTTATAGCATCATATTCTGGAGTAATGCTTAGTCAATAATGAAACTGTTTTCTTCCTCTTCTACCCTTGTGGAGTGGTTAATTTAATATGGAGGTGCGCAAGTCAGGGTTTTCCAAAGAAAACAAATTGATGTTGTATGCATACATAGAAATAAGAATTTACTTTAGGGAGCTGGCTCACCTGACTGACTCGCAAGTCCAAAATCTGCAGGGTGAGCAAGCCCGCTGGAGCCAGGGAAGGACTATGTCACACTCTGAATCGAAAAGCTTGCAGGTTGGGCATCCTAAAGTAGAGGACCCAGTTCCAGTTCAAAGGTCATCAAGAAGGGACCCAAAGAATCACTGATGTTGTAGTTCAAGTTGAAGACCACCTGTAGGCAAAATTCTTTATTATTTAAAGGGGGCAAAACTTGTGTCCTGCAGAGGCCTTTGACTTAATGGATGAGTTATACAGGCTTTTTGGCAAGCAACTGCTTACTCGGTTTGTTAGTTCAAATGTTAATCTCATCCAAAATTTTTCACAAATATTTTTCACCGAGATTAATGTTGGACCTTGAATGTAGGCATCATGTAGCCTTGCCAAGGTGACATTTAATCCTCACCACGTATATCTATTTTTAACTTGACACCCCTATACATCTTCTTAAATATATTAAACTTCGATTAAAGGTAATAGCAAAGTTGTGCTTCCTTATAACACAATACAGCTATCCTGCATATCACCAAAAACACACTAACTCTTGCCCCAGAAGTAGATATGAAGGTCTTGAATTGTAAAGGAAATTTTAAAAATCGTAAGCCTGACACTATGTAGAGAACACGATAGGCAGGCTCAGCCTAGCTAGACTCAAATTCCAATGCCAGCTGTAACTTGTAAGATAGATGAAAGTACATCTTATTGTGCTAACTTCCTTCAAGGACAGACTGGCTCAATTGAGGACAATAATTGATTCTACTTCCTCACCCAACCCTTGACTTCCTACTGTATGATAAGAAACCTGCTTTATCCCAGAACACTTTATCCCAGAACACTACCTGACAACATATGACCCAGCCTATGTAACCAAGTATAAAATAACCTACTATCAGCCTTTTGTACTTCATACCTAAAAGGTATGTAAGTGTCTGTTTAACCTCAAGGAAGGCTGGTGATTTGGAATTCAGTTTCCCCCATCTGACAGCATAATGAAGAGTTACCTTCCATGTGTGTCTTCCATCCAATTCGGTCCTGGTTTTTTCCACAATAGAATGGTGTTGGCTTTTTTTATATCCTGTAACTTAAATACTATGCTGTAAATGAGGTCTTAAATACTGTGATGTAAAGCCAATATATTTTAAACTAGATGATAAGCAGATGAGAGACAAAAGAAGACCAAGATATTATTCATACATGAATAAAATGCATAATAGTTATAATTACAGTACTCTTTTCTACAACTGACTACATGATCATATCTATGTAAGTAAGTACTTTTTCTATTACCCATTATATACTTCCTTAGACTTCCTCCGAGAGTCATGATTCTTCATCTTGAGGGGCAACCTAAACCCCTATTCCTGAGAGTCTGAGCCATAATTAGTCTTTGCCTGAATTGCATTGCTGTAGTTTTCCACTGACTTTAATTATAAGGTAGTAACATTTAGAGATGCTCTAAGAGGCATCTTAAATCCCAGACATATTTTTCCTTACTTCCATTGTAGATTCATTGTCCAACTTCCCCTTGATAATCAATAAAGTTAGCCAGCATCATAACTCATGCCTTAGCCTATTGACACCAAGTGTGAAGAACCCAAAGAAGCTGGTAGCTGTATCGATTTATAGTTCAGCAGAATTGTCATTGTGTTTCATGGTGGGAGAATTCCTCATTCTGGGAAAAAAAGACCCATAGACTAGCCTCGTATAAAATTAGAAGAGCAGAAAGAAATTTTGATAATGGTCATTAGGTATGGTACCACTTCCATTTCTACCGTTAGATTACTGAAACTGTGAACCCTTGCTATGAGACACAAACACAGTGTATATCATACACTGATTAAAAATGTGCATAGTACTCTTGATAACATTACTCCAGCACTGCAAGGTATTGCCACCTTGCTGGAACAGTGAGTCTTCCAAAGGTCATCCCATGATTCTGTTGAAACAGCTGCTTCAGGATGGTGGGTAACATAGTAAGAGACCAGCAAATTCTGTGAGTGTGAAAATTCCATACTGATGTGGTTGACAGGAAGCAATGCTGGTAGAATACTGGGATACTGGAAAATGTATTTTGAAAGTCTATAAATGGCAGTTTTGCCAGAAGCATAAATAGAAGGCAAATACATATATTAGAATGTCTATGACAGTAAAAAAAAAAAAAGCCCCTCTCTCCATGACGGAAGTAGTCCAGTGTAATCAATCAACTAGCTGGCTGATTCACTCCAGAGAGCAGTGCCACATCCAGAACTCAGCACTGGTCTCTGCTGTTGGTAAATTAGTCACTTAACAGTGGCTATAATCAGGCTGTCATAGGTAAGTGGAAGTGCATGCTGCTGAGCTCATAAAAATCTCTATCCTTTATACCAAGGCCACTTTGGTCACAAATCCATTGGGTAATGACAATTACCCAGGGCTGAGAAAAAAGGTTGACTAATAATCCTAAGAATTAGTCATGCTTTTTAGTTCATAATTAAAAATCCATCTTTAAGACTGGTACCCTCTAGTGGACACAGAGCACAAATTTTATGTTTTAAAACCAATCCGAGAAGATAGCAATGTAAAATCCAGTAGCATGCTCCATGTCTGTAGCACTTCATGACACTTGGAAAACAATAGCAGTGAGGAGAAAAGAAAATTCTAGGAGTTACAGAGACTTGACAAATTGAAGACAGTGTAGGGGAAAGAAAGCAGCAATGTGAAACGCTAACTCTAGCTCCGAGGGAGGAAGCTTGCTCTCCGCAGGCACCCAATAAGCCTGAAGAGGGTCAGCACCCTAAACAAGAAACAATGGGCTGGGCTGACAGCACTGGCATCAATAAAAGCCCAGAGTTATTATAAATCACAAAAACAGTATGTGATTTTACTCTAAAATAACTTCTACATGGCAAGTTCAAGTTGGAGAAGAAATTCATTGCGGTGTCAACCATTTTGGAGTGATTAATGAGAAGCTATTTTGGGAAACAATTTTGATTGTTTAAGACTGAGTTGCTCCAGGAATCAGAAACCATACTCTATTTCAAGGCTTCTGGGATCAACCCAGCACAGTGACTAGGTGGGAGAGGACCCCCAAGAGATGCTCCCTAAGAAAATACAGGACAGACACAGACCCCTCAAAAGTTTGAACAGCAGTAAGTCTGGGCTGGGAAGGACATGGGGGTTGTGCACGCTGTAATAAGCCAGGCCAGTCAGTCACATGTAGTTTTTGAAGGGGACTAGATTTCACATTTGTGGCATTAAGCCCATCATACTTTACCCAGTGTACCCATTCCCCATTCTACCACCGCCACCACCATCTCACTGCCTATATCTCAGAGTGCAGAGGTCAGTTTGCTTTCTCCATTGGCCATTGTTATCAGGTTTATGCTTTAGCTTGGATGGCTGCCACAGCCTAGAGTACACAAAGGGACCTTTGAGGTGGGGGGTAAGATACTCATCACAAACCTACAGGCCATAGAAATTATTACATAAATTGAAGAACTAATATACTCTTGAGGTACAGCAGTGAAGTTTTATCATTTGCCTGGCTAACTGAGAATGAATTCTTTCTAGTGGCATGTATAAATATGGAGGAAAAGGCATTTGTCAGTGAATATCTGCATTCCTAGGTACCACAATATTTGTTAATTTCATCAAGTAGTGAAACCATGTCATTTGATATTGAAACTATTAGATTCACCATCTAGTTAACCTGGTAAAATCCACCATTATTCTCTAAGATCCATGTATTTCTCACATAGGACAATTAAGTGAGTTCAATAGGAATGTAGTAGAAATCACCATCCCAAGCCTTTCATGGTGGAACTAATTTCTTGGTTTTAATTTTAATGTTCTGGTTTTCTAGTCAGATTGATTCTAATTGCCTACCTTTGTGTTTTATTCCTCACTCCATAGTTTAGGGAATTAATGTAGGGTCTCTGCTAGTAACTGAGTATGTTGATTGTAATTATGAATTCCAGAATTGATGAAGTATTGCTTCTCAGCCTTTTGGCTAAGATCTAGTACAAAATCGAGGAAGTAGCGACAGAATAGGTTCAGGAGTCCACTGGAACCGTGGACCTGAGCCAAAATTACTCTGATATCCAACCTCCACCATTCCCTTTTCTGACTAGCAGAGCACAGTGATGTTCTGAGTTTTCTGGATCTGGTGCCTGATAGTCCTGAAAAGCCCTCAGCTATTTCCTTTTCCCCAAGCATAGTTACCTTACTAAAAGGATGAAGTTCATATGGGATAATCCAGGGAAGATAATAGCATAAATGTTTAGTAGTATACTTGGATCCTATTTCAAGGAACTGAGTCTTTTTCCCTGCTTCAGGAAATCCAGGGTCTGTAAACAGGCTTGAATCCGAGAGCCTATATGGGACAGAAAGATATGACTCTGCTTCCATGACTTTGGTTGTAGTTTTGTTCTCTTGACCTAAAAATTTTCTGCCTCTACAGGTAAAATAAGACTTTTTGCTCTTCTGAGCTATTTCATCTCTAGGAATATAATATTTAGGCATGTTACAGATTTGCCTCTATCTGACTAATATGAAAATCAAAACCGAATTTCATCTTGAAATTACCTAAGATGCAAAATGGACCCTCAGCCTCATAGGGAGGCTACTTTAAAAGTGAGAGCATTAATAAAAATGGAATTGGATTCTAGATTGGGAGCATATAGAGAAAAATCATGATGATGCTGGGAACATTGGATCACTGAGTTCTGATGAGTCTTCTTCCAGAAGAAGGGGCTTCTCCCCACCAAGGACACTGGCCTCAAACTTCTCAGGAAACTCTAGTGGCTTTCTTTGGCAGCTGCCTTAGAAACACTGCTGATCCTCAATAGGACTCATCCCACATACCTTCTTTGCTTCTCAACTTACAGCAAGCAGCATGTCTCAGAGGCCCCTAAAGGTGAGATATAAAGTCAACCCATGAGGATGTATGCTGCACTTAAAGGAACTGCTTGATTTTTTAATGAATTAGAAATTTGTGTGACATATATGACAGTACAGGTGAGAAATGTGAGGTAATGGTAAGAGGAATTCAATGTTGGATCAGTATGAAAGAACAAATATGGGCCCACTAAACAGAGATTCTAAAGTAATAGAGATTTTAAAATTACAAGGCAAGCAGTTAGAATGACTCTAGCACATTTGTTGGTTGGTCAGTGAGTTGGTTGGTTGCTTGAAACATGGAAGAAAAAGCTATCTACAGTGAATGAAACTGAGTTTTTGCATCTATCTTGGCTTGTTTTTTTAGACATGTGAGTCTGAGGACATGAATCATTGATTAGACTAAACCAGTTACACCCTTTCTTTTTAGAAATTTAGAACCCAGACATCAAACCCCCTAGTGTGTTGCATTTCATTGATGCTAATGAGTAGGTACAATTTCAAATACTTTATCATGTCTGAAATCACAATATACCTTACAGTAGCTTGGCCATCACATTTAATATGTAGTATTTTGTCTGATACATAAAGTAATGTGAGTACTAAAGTATTTGGGACTATGTATGATAGATCTAGAATATTTACTGTAAATCCTTTGGTTGAAGACTGCGTAAGTCTGTTACTGGCCCTTGTTCTTTTTTAATTTTTTTTTATTTTATTAGTACATGTTTACAATTCATGCAGTTTACAGTCATCTTGGGGAGAGGTTACATGTACTTTTTATAGTTTACTCTTTTTAAAAATCCATGTTTTTTAAAAAATCCCTTTCCCCTTCCTCACAACTCATCCTTTTTTTTTTCTACAAAAAGAAGTAAAGATAATTCTACAAGGAAAATAGGAAAAAATTAAATAAATATGCAGAGGGAAAAGATAAGGGAGACCTTGTGGTCCCAGGAAGAAATAAATAAACAATTATCTGGAATAACAAGATTTGCTGCTTTGGCTCTTGACCATATTTCATTTTGTTTATCTATTTTGTTGCTCTTGCTCTGTGGGGACATAGACCAAAAGTATGTATGAGATGAATATGCAGAGATGAGGGACTTTGGTAGCAACAAGTCCAAAACCTCCCAGAATGCAGAGTTAAAGATTGAAGATAGTCTTCAGGGTCACAAGTCTGAGACTACTTGGCACATTGATTTAAGGAATGTATGCTCTGGCCTTTGTCCATCCCATACTCCAACTAATTACTTAAATTATCTCTAAGTTCAGGCATGTAGCAGACCACCTTTTCCTTCCCCTGTCCTCTCCCTGTCCACTACCTGAATTCCTGAACAGATATTTGACATTTGTGCTTTATCCTTGCATCCTGAATCTATGAATAAAATATCATAGAAGCTTCAGATCAGAGCTGTTTTTTCCTGAGAATCTCACACTGAAGGATCACAAGCAAAAAGCAGCACCCCTGGGCCCTTGGAGGTAAAACTGGGACATGGACTCTGAGTAATCTCATCCTGTGTGCTGTACCACAGTCATGAACCGTGATACTGTTGCCCAACAGCACTTTTGTGCTTAGGCTCCACAACTGATTTTCATTTTAAGCTATTCTCATTATAGGAAGGTCTTCTCCTAGCCTCAGAACACTTGGGAGGAGATAGGTCAGAACAGATGCTCTTGGGCAATGGTTTAGATATACCTTGAAGGTCTCTCCAGGGTCTGTGTGTTACAAGTTGGTCATCAGTATTGGAAAGGGATGAAAACTGGAGGTTGAGCCTGGCAAGAGGTCCTTCAGTCATTGAGTCAGTCCCTCAAAAGCAATTTAGCAGGTCCCACCACCACCATACTCTGGGGGCACACTCTGCCTAGCTGCATGGGTCCCGGAGGTTCTGAAATCCTCCCCGCTAGACCCAAGACCCCCATGCTGCCACACTCTGGGTGTGTATTCTGCCTAGCTTCCTGGGTCCCAGAGGTTCTGAACTCCACCCAGCCAGATGTAAGGCCACAGCACCATACTCTGGAGGTGCATTCATGCTAGCTGCACAGAGGATCCAAGCTCTGCCCAGCCCAGAGCTCCAGAGCAACCCAGTGCAGTACATCAGGGAACACCCAGCCAGTCTCACAGACCACAGAGCAAAAAAGTCTCCAGTGCCATAATTAGGGGGTATGCCCTGGCTAGCCACAGAGATATTGGATGATTGAAGATCTGTCCATGACAGCATTCCAGTGCAACCCATTGGGAGAGTGCCTGGCCAGCTACAGGAATCCCAGAGGAAAATTACAAAATGAATGAGCAAGAAGCAGTCTCAGTCCTCCAACTCACCAAGAACAAACCCAAGAGATGATGAAATGGAAGACACCAGAAATCATACAACTAAACCTTCTGAAATGATAACAACTGAAGTAAAGAAACAACTCTATGAATCTATAGAGGAAATCAGATCAGAAATAATTTCTCAGGTAAAAATGAAATGAAAGAAATGTTGTGTGTATCTAAAGACCATCTACATAAAATAGAGGAAAATAAGAAAATGATGGAAACCTTGAAAGAACGATATAAGACAGAATTAGAATGCATGAAACAGATTCAGGGATACTCAGGAAATTAAAAATTCCATGGAAATCTGGCAAAACTACCTGAATGAAGCTGAAGATTAACTTTCAGACCTTGAAGACAGAATGGAAGCTTACAGTCATAAAAGAAAATAATAAGGAACCAGGAAACAACAACTCAATAGCTGCAAGATGATGCAAAGAGAAACAGTAAAGACTGGTAGGTGTCAATTAAAAAGCAGGTATTAACACAAATGATATACAAAAACTATTTGCAGAAATAATAGAAAAATTTCCAAACATGGGAAAAAAATATGATATACAATTAAGTGAGCATACAGCACTCCAGTTACCATAACCAAAATAAATCTTCACCCAGACATAATAATTCGGATATCAGAATTTCAGCATAAAAACAGAATACTAAAAACTATCAGAGAAAAGAAACAGATCACCTATGAAGGAAAACTCACCAGAATCATAGCAGACTTCTTAACACAATTTTTCAAATTAAGAAGAGCTTGGAGTGAAATATTTTAGGTCCTGAAAGAAAACAACTTTCAACCCAGATTGATGCAAAACTATCTTTGAAAACTGATGGAGAAATAAGATTCTTGCACAACAAAGAACAATTAAAGAAATTCATGACCACCAAACCAACACTACAAATAGTATTGAAAGATACTTTGGAAATAAACAAAGATAACTGCAATCCCAAAAGCAAAAACAGAAGGAAACCACTAAGTAAGGCAAACAATTAAACAGCAAAAGTAGAAAACCAGCAACAGAAAGATAACATGACACTGATAAGCCAGCCAGTACATATCAGTTATATCCATCAATGTAAATAGCCTCAACTCACCAATGATAAGAAACAGACTGGTAGAGTGGACTAAGAAACAAAATCCATCAATCCATGTGTTTCTTGCTGTGTACAAGAAACACATTTAAGTCAGAAGGAAATTCATAGACTAAAAGTCAAAGGATGGAAAGCAACACTCCATGTAATAGCAACCCAGAAAAAAGCAGAGATAGCTATTTTGTTTGCAGACAATGTAAACTTCAAACCAAGAATGATCAAAAGAGATAAAGAAAGTCACTACATACTTATTAGGAGGCAATTTGAAGAGGAAGAGATTACAATCATAAATATATATGCACAAATATGGGAGCATATGTAAGATAAATCTTAACAGGCATAAAAATCATATAAACAATAATAGTTATAATGGGGAACCTTACATTGTCATAAAGAGAAAGAGCAGCCAAACAAAAGCCAGAGAAAAAATAATAGAACTGAATCAAACTTGTGAACAAATGGACCTAATAGATGTGTACCGAGTGTTCCACCCAACAACATCAGGATACACATTCTTTTCAGCTGCACATGGGTCATTCTCTAAGATAGTTAATATACTAGCCCACAGAACATGCTTAAGTAAATTCAAATGAATTGAAATAATTCTGTGCATGTTATCTGATCATAGTGCAATAAAATTGGAAATAAATGACCAAAAAACCACAAGAACTACATAAGTATATGGAAATTAAATAACACTCTCCTAAACAACCAGTAGGTCACAGAAGAAATTGAACAATATCTACAATACAATGAAAGTGAAAATACAAATTAACAGAACCTGTGGGACACAACGAAAGCAATCCTCAAAGGGAAATTTATAGCACTATACTCCCAAATTGAGACAATGGAATAAACACAAACAACCTAATGCTGCATGTCAGATTTCTAGAAAAAGAAGAGCAAGTCAAGCCCAAAGCCAAAAGAAGGGAGGAAATTATAAAGATCAGAGCAGAAATTAATGTAACTGAAACTAAGAAAACAATACAAAGAATTAATGAATTGAGTTGTTTCTTTGAAACAATAAATAAAATTGATAAACCCCTAGACAACCTTAACAAAAAGAGGAAAGAAAAAATTCAAATCCACACAGCGTGAAATGAAAAGAATGAAATCACTACAGACCCTGTGGAAATACAGAAGATCATCAATACCTACTTTGGAAAAGTTTACTCTCACAGGTTCAATAACACAGAAGAAATGGACAGATTCCTAGAAACATGAATTACCAAAGCTGAATCAAGAAGATGTAAAACTGCTGAAAAACCCAATTTTAGTAAATGAAATTGAAAATGTAATTAGAACCTTACCGACAAAGAAAACCCCAGGTCCTGGTGGCTTCTACAAATTTAGGGAAGGATTAATGTCCACACTCTTCAAATTGTTCAATCAAATAGAAAAGGAATCAATTCTCTTTGACTTATTCCTGGAAGCAAGTATTACCATAATACCAAAACCAGAGAAAGACTCAACCAAAAAGGAAAATTACAGGCCAATTTCTCTAATGAACATAGATGCAAAAGTCCTCAACAAAATATTGGCAAATAGAATCCAACATCATCAAGAAAATTGTACACTATGATCAAGTGGGATTCATCCCAGGAATGCAAGGATGGTTCAACATAAGCTAATCAATAAACATAATACACCATATCAATAGAACCAAGGACAAGAATCACATAATCATCTCAACAGATGCAGAAAAAGCTTTTGACAAAAAACCACAAGAACCACATAACTATATGAAACTCATATACTTCAACACTCATTCATGATAAAACCCTACAAAAATTGGAATATAGGTCGGCTTTGCCTCAATATGGTAAAAGCCATCTATGACAAACCAACATCCAGCATTATATTAAATGAACAAAAACTGAAAGCTTTCTTTATCTCAAAAGAGATAAAGAAAGTCACTACATACTTATTAGGAGGATTTGAAGAGGAAGAGATTACAATCATAAATATATATGCACAAATATGGGAGCATATGTAAGATAAATCTTAATGGGCATGAAAAATCATATAAACAATAATACAGTTACAATGGGGAATGTTACAATGTCATAAAGAGAAAGAGCAGCCAAACAAGAGAAAAAATAATAGAACTGAATCAAACTTGTGAACAGATGGACCTAATACATGTGTACCGAGTGTTCCACCCAACAACATCAGGATACACATTCTCTTCAGCTGTTATACAGATTTGTTATACAGATTTAAGTAACATTTACATACTCACAGATCTAGTGTGTTATGAGGAGAGTGTTATTTAATTTCCACAATTAAATGCACAGAATTATTTCAATTATTTCGAACATCAGGAACAAGACAAAGATATCCGCTATCACCACTCCTATTCAATATAGTTCTGGAAACATTAGCCAGAGAAATTAGACAAGAGAGAGAAATAAAAGGAATTAGGATAGGAAAGGAAAAAAATTACCATTATTTGCAGATGACATGATACTCTACATAGAAGACCCCTGAAACTCCATTGAAAGACTTCTAGATGTAATAACCAAATTTAGTAATGTAGCTGGATACAAGGTCAGCACTCAAAAATCAATAGCATTCTTGTAATCAAACAACAAACTTACCGAGAGAGAAATAAGAGAAAACACACCCTTCACTATAGCATCCAAAAAATGAAATACTTAGGAATCAATCTAACAAAGGAAGTAAAAGAGCTATACAGTGAAAATTTAAATTAGTGTGCAAAAGGAAATTGAAGAGGATTTCAGAAAATGGAAAGCCATTCCTGCATAGGAAGAATAAACATTGTAAAAATGACCATTCCTCCAAAATTGTTATACAGATTTAATGCAATTCCAATCAAAGTAACATTTACATACTCACAGATCTAGAGAAATCATCCCTAAAATTCATCTGGAACCAGAAAAGATCTAGAATAGCAAAGGTAATTCTGGGCAACAAAAGTAAGACAGGAGGCATCACAATCCCTGACTTGAAGTTAGACTACAAAAGCTACTGTGATAAAATCAGCATGGTTCTGGAATAAAAACAGACCTGAAGATCAATGGACTAGGTTAGAAGATACAGCTACAACTACAAACACATGAGGCCACCTCATCTTTGACAAAGGGGCCAAATACGTACACTGGAAGAAAGAGAGCCTCTTTAATAAGTGGTGCTGAAAAAACTGGCTGTCCATATGCCAAAAACTAAAAATAGATCCTTGTCTCTCACTGTGCACTAAAGTCAAAATGCACCAAAGATCTAAATATTAAAATAGAAACACTAAATCTGCTGGAAGACAAAGTAGGTAGAAAAGTAATTGGGATGGGGAAAATAGGAAAGAAGGAGGGGAAAAGGAAAAGACATAAGTGTGTGTGTGTGTGTGTGTGTGTGTGTGTGTGTGTGTGTCTAAAATAACTGTGCTACTAATTTTATTAGTTATTGAAAAAGAACAGCTAATATTCATATGATTAGATCAATTTTACGTCTATATCTGCTATTCTAAGCAACCTTTTTGAATGTGACAATATATAATGGTTGTAACATAACCATGGTCAAATTCTTATCATCTTGTTTTGTAAACCTGTATTGTTATTGTATTGGGTTGGTTGTGTTGTCTCTTTGGCTTTTCATTATCTTTTCTGTGTGTTTTTCTCTTTAAAAAAAAAAAAGGCAATTTAGTTCTTATGCAACCGATTCGTAGTTCTTGTGAGCAGTAGCTAGTTCTCATATTTAAGAGGAGGAAGCCGATTCAGGGGTTTACACTACAGTTCCAGCACTCTAAGAGGCTGAGGGAAGGTGACCATGAGTTTGAACCTAACCTGGGAAACAGGAAAACCAGTTCTCAAAATTAAAAATAAATAAATATATATAGCTCAGTGTGAAGATGCTGGGTTCATTCTTTAGTATTGCAAATAAAACAACAGACTTTGTTTCTGGATCTCAGATACGAGTGCCTGTCCGCACACACACTTCTGTCATTGTATATAACAGCATCTGCTGCTT